ATCATGCTACGGACAATTTGCATCAATGCTGTGAAGCAGCTCCTCGCCGTTTTTATTCAGCGAAAGAGAGTGATATAAGTGATTTTGCTTTTTCATTGTCGATATGTAATAAAGAGCTGACTGATTGCACTGGATTAAAAAATCAATCACTAGAAAATTAAAGTTGTCTAAAGTTTTATAATAGATAATACATATGAAAAACAAACGAGGTTATAATTAAATTAATGTACCTAAATAAAAAATAAGATTTAGGGTTTTGTCGGCATATTTTAATGATTTGGGCATAGAGATGTAACGATTAAAATTAATATAAATATCAACTCATTAGTAACAACTTTTGGTTTTCAACCTAAATCTTAACTAAAGGAAAAATATATTTAAGACAAAGAAGCAAGTAGTTTATGTTTACGGGTAACAAATATTTAGATATTAAAAAATAAAATATCGTTCTCACTTTTTCGATAAATAAATCAACATACAAAGGCTTAACCCTATTATAGAATTTTAATAAAAGATAACCAATCCCTTTATACAAATAAAGCGCTAAGTTTATTTGATTTCTAATATTCAAAACGTAATTAATTGGTTTTTGATATAAATGGGTAAAAATAAGCACAATATATAGGTTCTTCAGTGACGTAGACACGACTGTCACTGTTTACTAGTAACCCATAGTTAGAGCTTTTTTATGTAAAAAGGATGGCAAACAAGCTTCATGCAGCAATCACATTTGGTCGTTAGCCCGTATTCATACTGGAATATTTACATTGGAATAGGGCCTGAAAGACGGCGTCTGGTAACCAAAACGAGAACTACCTGAATACGATCGTAGTCAACTCCGTTCATATTCAGTTATGGCTCAATTACCTTCTCAAATTACCTTCAAACAGAGGACCTTATTTAGCACACAAACACACACGCACGCACGCACGCACGAACGCACGCACAAACGCACGCACGCACGCACGTACGCACGTACACACACACATATACATATTTAATAATATTCGTGCCAAATTTGAAGTAAATCCATGCAGTACTTTTTGAGTTTTGCCTGGGCATACATACAGACGTACAGACAAAAATTCTAAAAACTATATTTTTGGCTTCGGTAAAGAATGTAGATCACAACCCAAGTGTTCTTTTAAAAAAAATATTCAATGTACAGTTTTAACTTTCCTGCAATTTTATTACATGCATAGATAAAACTATCATTATTATTAATAATTACACTTGGTCGTTATCCCGAATATGATTGCCAATGGGATTCGAGTAAACGACTGAGTGTAAATGAACGGAGTCGAGTACGCCCGTATTCGGGTAGTTTTCGTTTTGGTTATCGGACACCGTCTTGCAGCCCGTATTCCAGTGTAAATATTGCTTCAGGTACACCAATTCGAATAATGTCTTTTGTGCACTCGAATACAGGCTAACGACTAAGTGTAATTGAGCCATTAGTCGTTTACCTGAATTCCATTGGCACTTGTATTCATTAGGGTAGTTTTCGTATTTGTTACCCAACGCCATCTTCCAGCCTGTATTCGAGTAAAAACAATGTAAATATTGCTTCGAGTGTCCGAATTCGAGTAATGTCTTTCGTGCACCCGAATACGCTCTAGTGACCAAGTCTAATAGCGCTATAAAAGTAGTGATCTAGGTACTGTAAGTTAAGGGTGACTTTCTTTAACGGGGCATTCTGATACAAGCGAAAACCCGACATGCCATAAAATGAAAGCCATGCTATTTTTTAATATATTTGTATTTATTATTATTATCTTGATAATTTCAATAATTATGTTTCTTGCTACTGTTGCTTTACAAAGAGGGAAGTTCATAAAAAGCAATATGAATATACCAATGTATCTACTAAAGTCCTTTTTATAAATATGACATTACATAGAATATAATATAACCGCCACTCCTTAGTGACTTCTGGGTTTCAATTTGTTAAAAACACATACGTTTCGAAATAATATCTGTCGGTTTCCGCGATTTAAATAAAAACTTCAAAATAAAAAAGATATGTCACATGGCTTTTCTCGCATTGTTGTCCTTTTTATTAATTATTACTATTTATTTATGTATGAAACGCTAAAACTGTCATCAACAGACAACAGCAAAATAAAGTTAATAACATCCAAGATTAACCCAATCCAATGCCAGAATGTAACAGCTACGCTATAAAAATTTCAAAGAAAATTACCTCAACTTCCGATTAGATTACCGCAAACGCTCAAATCGTTTACCCAAAAGACATTAACAGCCCCATTTGGCCACCGAAGCAACCGTGACAATGCCTCTATTACTTAATGACACTAAAATTATATTAGACCGAAGACCATTGTGTCAGTAACTCAATGGCACCCCTACATACTCATACTTACCCATTGTATCTGATTCCGCTTTTATTAAATTAAAAAGGAAATATTGTAAAGATTTAAAAAATCTTATTAATGTTTTCAATTAGAGAAGATATGTTTAAGAGAGGTAGGCATAGATTTCCCGCTCGAATTGGAGCGCCCGTCAGGGGAAGTAACCTCCACCTTACAGAAGACGATAGTAAAATAATACTACCTTTTGGTGGTGTTGTATTTTTGGCAGAGAGTAACTCTAGAGGTCTACGGGATAGGAGGTAGGGTCAGTGGCAAATTCATGGCCTTAAATTGCAACAAGGGAATGAATGCCCTATTGCGTTGCGGGTGCTGCACCGTCGGAGTCCCAGACGAGGATCGACACGTTATTCGCGAAGGCAGGGTGTGTCAACACCCGGCGAATCTGGGCCAGTGCGGATGATTAACAACCACCCGTACATTGCACAACTCCATACTTTGGGGAGAACTCTAACTCGCCTAAGCTTCTCCCGCCAAAGAGGGGGGACCAGAAGGTCCTTCCTACGGGGAGTGGGTGGCCTGGCGACTCGGAATCGGCTTTTCGGGTACCACTCCCAGCCGTAGGTGCGCCGTGGGTCTTTTAGTGGGTAGGCCTCTGGGGGACTCATCGAACGAAGTTCCGTGGCATGTATCCTCAGAGGAGAGTCCTACATAACCTCGCCGCTCGTCAGGCGGCGGGGTATGCGTCATGCATTTTTCGCCACGGTATTCAAAAAAAGGTTAGAGAGGGTAGGCAACGGCGTGGTTGATATTTCTTGTATCGCAAGCGTTACCCTATAGACGCTATTGGGTTGGTGGGCGTTACCCATCATTCGGGTTATATACTTGTTTGCCACCCATTTTACATAATATACTTGTATATATATTTTATAGATTGGTCCGACAAATGACCCCACCCCACCTGATGTTAAGTTACGGTGAAGTCCAGACGCAAAGATAGCTGATACAGCAGTTCTACCTGCCACACCAGTCATCCTCACCCTGCCCGCCTGCATGTTGCTTCTTGACGCCTCTTTTAAAGGATCCCAGGTTGTAAGAGGGAAGCGCATTCCATTTACGGATACATTAAAAAACGATACTGTATTTTTTTTTTATTTATTTATTTAATCTTTATTGCCTTACATGCAAATGGCGGACTTAATGCCAATATGACATTCTATACCAGTCAACCGGAAAGAAAGTGCAGAGCGAATATAACGGCAAAGAATAAAAAAAAAGAAAGTTAACATCAAACAATGCGAAAAACAAAATTGCCTGTATCAGTGCCTGTCTTCTACCCCAGCTTCCAGGGTTCGAATCATAGCTATTACTTTGTGTAATCAATCATCATAATCCTGCTGCTATAAGAATATATAATGAGTAATATTATTTACTCCCCGATCTTGGTTATTCATTCAATAGTATTTATATTAAGTACTAACGTTATTGCTTCTACAGTTAAACCGCTGCTTAGTTTGGGAGTAAAGAAATTCTTTACAGTTATCAATGTACATATTATTGGGTATATAGGGTAATTATTTTAAACTAACTTCCGCGCACGACGTCCGCATTATAGTTAGTTTTTTTTAATACCACAGGAACCTAACATTTTTATGGGTAAAAAGTATCCTTGGGTCGATCTATGTAATAAACAGTATTATATGACAAACTTCATTTAAATCCGAACAGCCTTTTTAGCATGAAAAAGTTACAAACATTTACACATTCATGACTTTCGCGTTTACAATATTTATTTATTAATATAGGTACACTAACGGAATACAGTCAATACATGTTTTTATAATAAAATCACAGTTGATGTAATCTAGACAGTACTCCTTTGTACACACCATGATTAAAATTACCGAACAGCACATACGTAACTTATATAATTGAAGGCAAAGCTTAATCATAACTAATCAAATATAATTTTAATTAATAATGTAGGTTTTCAATGTTATCTGAGGTCCATTTGACTTTAATAATATTGGTCACGACTCGTTTGTACTGTGAAAACCTTCCATTAAATATGTCCATGTCCCTAGTGCTACGGGCATATTTATTATTATGTCCGACACTTTCTCACCATTGGGTTATAAAAAGATGTATTATTCTTGTATACTTGTATTGAAAAGGTATTAGGAAAACGGCATCTATACCTGATATCTTTATTAAGCAAATCAAGTAAACTTGGTGCATCTATAGCTGAATACAACGACAATATATATTAGTAGGAAGGAAGGAGGATAGTGACTCCCGCTGTGTTTCGATGTTAAGTGTAGACTAGATTTGTTACGCATTTTAAAGCTTTCATGAAATAATTGTTAATTGATGGTGAAACCCTCACAAAATATCTCTTTATGTACCTAGTTTTTGCGATAATTTGAGATAATTAATGAGATAGCGAACATACAACAAGGCGCGGCGGGGATTTTTTATATTTCATAATCGAGTTCATAATAATACATATTATCACATTCTTTTTATTAGAAAAATTGAGAATTCAAGTCAGGACCTACTCGATTTGTATAAAAAGCTGAATGTTGGTTAATCTAGATGGCGTCCAGATTTCAAAGTAATTATTCGCTTTATCACCATTAGTTTTTTAAGAAGAAATATGGAAATACTTACGAGATCCATTGGTATATCGCTGAAACAGTCAGCTCGCCTTTTTCCCTCAGCGCTCTTTCAATAAGCTCCGGGTAGGTGTAAGGAGGCTTCCTAGGTGCCGGTGGCGTATCAGGCACCATGACCTTCGGCTCCTTTCTGAAAACCGGTCCATCATCAGGCACTTTGACGTTCACGATTTGGTCCAAACGAAAGTTCAACAGCCACGCGAGGCTGGCGCAGTCATTGTCGTCCTGCGTCGGTGACTTGGAGGACTTCCTCCGCCTCCACTTCGGTCTGTCACCGATCTTGACGGTGGACATTTTGACAGTGTGTCGTGTTGACAGCGGTGGTGCGGCTGTGGTCGGTGGTGAACACAACGCGTCTGTTTTCGTTGCGAACTTCACTTGTTTCGTGCCAGCCAGCGCTATCGCCGAAGCTCGCGGCTGGTGCAAATAGGTTGAGCAAGTGCCGTGAAAATAGGGTGTACGTTATACCATCGTTACAACGCCAATAAAATATTTAAAAAATATATGTTTGTGCATTGTGAATTTTGGTTTTGGACATGGACAGGTTACATATCTATGTACTTATAATTTTATAGTTTCAGGTTGGTTAATTTATTTACAATTTATTGCAAAAATAACAGCAAATGGCGGACATAATTCCGTAAGCCATTCTCTTCCAGTCGACTAGTTACGAACGTGAGAAAAAAAATTACAATTTAAACATTAATAGACACATAATTATACCAATCAAATATGACAACGCAGATTAATGATATTGAGAAAGTGCTAACGAACCAATCCCTTAAATGCAAGTTTGTTAGGAGCTTTACGTTTATTGATGGTTTAAGGTTTATTCAAATTTATGTCTGAATCTTTTTGGTTATATTTCAGGCGAAATGTCTATGATTTGCACTTATTGACTGCATAAAGAGGTTTTTTAATGTGTGAAAGTATTCATACGCGATAATCTCGAAAACAGGCAACTGTGACAGGCAACAGGCAGCAAATAAATGATTTCAAAACCGGTATGAATAATCATGAGTCCGATCTTTTTTTTCACGATAAAATTGTATAAACTTATAGCTTTTGCCCGCGACCTCTTCAGTGTGGACTTAGTGATTCTTACTTGGACTTAGTGTGTTAGCAAAGGAGATTGCTCAAATTGGCCTAAATGCACAAAAAATATTGACATACACGGTAATTCTTGGCGTAATTTATAATTTAATTTACAGTCATTAGATTTCAACGGACACCTTTGTATAATATATTTACTTTAAAGAGGACTTTTAGTTTTACAGGTTTGGAAAACATACGGATCATTTTTAATGGCTATGGGTGTAGTGACATTCAGCCAAAGACTGATCGAAGTTGTTTATATAACATAAAAACAAATCTATTTTGTAAAGATCGATATAATAAATCATATTTTTTATAACACTGCGGTATTAATATCCACAACTATATTATCATTTTCACTACATGCAAATGTGCTCAGACAATTATTATAGATGGTAGGCGACATCATAAAGTCTATTACCATACATTTTTCGGAAAAAAACCTCCATAAGCACATTATAATCTGTATATATATAAAAAAATATATGTTAGACTTTAAGGTATCTATCTAATGCTCTAAGATCTATGGGTCTACGTTCCCTGACTATAAATTAATAATTAATTAAAATTATAAGGTGTGATACACTAAAAGTCTCAAATATGGTTATCTTAAAAACATAACGTCGGTGATATTCTGAAACCGCGGAACTAACAGTGTTTAAAACCGCGTAAGGTAGGTGCAGTGAATTTTACAGGAACGAGGAAAAACTTAATATTTACTAAATCACATGACTTTCTATTGTTTAAACATTTAAATTGTCAAATTATAATATTCTTCTTGGTATTGTAGGCATTAGTTATGTTAAATATGTATTAATTAATTAGTAAATCGACTTTCGCGGTTTTATTATCACAAATAAAATCAAAATGAGTTTTTTTATGTCACTTAAGCGGAATTGTCCGCCGAAATAAAACAAAAGAATACAATCAACATCTTATAATTATTTATTAAGTCAACTTCAGACTTTAATTTTTGGCACATATTTATCACCGGTACATTAGATAATCAACAATATACAGGAAATTAACACCATAAATCCCCATAATGTTAAAAAAATAGCTCTTTATAGCTAAGTATGTTAAACATACCTTGTTGAGAGGGTACTTACTAATTAACAGTTAAAACTAAAAATGAAGAACAAAACATATATAAATATTAATTCTGAGTAGAATAATAATTGCACATTGAGGTCTTTGTTAAAAATGAGATCAATAAAACATTACTTTTTCTTAAATGGCAAATTATCGTAAAATAAGTGACAATCTGCAGGTATCACAGTCTTTAATTGCTGTAAGTGCTGATACTTACTGTCTAATATAGGCAGTCTAGATGAATACAGGGGAGGTACATTATTAACTACAGCTGAAATAGGTTTTGGTCTCCGAGGAAGTGGGCTGAAATCATCTTTAAAGTGTTTTTTGAACTCTATTGTGCCGTTAGGATTATACTTTAAAACCCTCAGATCCACTACGCAATCATCTCCAGCAGAACGCCCAGGACGAATGGAATCATAAATTTGGTATTCTTTTAGACTGTAGTCTTTAAAAAAGGTGTAATCTGGTTGAAAAACCTGGTATGGAAAAGGATGCTTCCTGGCTTCTTTTGTAATTGAGGCATACTGAGAAGGAAGAAAAATTTCAACATTTTTCAGCTTTCTTTCCACTACGGAGTGTACGGAGTCAACCTCCATTTGAGTGTGACCTTTTTCCAGATACTTTTGTGTAATTGTTGTATTTTTGTCTACTGCTAATCTTAGAAGGGCATTAGAAACTATTGAGTTTCTGTTCTGTGCTGTGCAGCCATCCGTCCAGATGACAACATCCCTGCAATCTTCTTCTAATAACTTAGTCAAATAATCAATGAAAAATGATGCGTAAGTGGTAGCTCTTAAATCACAGGCGGTTTCGTCGAACCAGTAGCAAGTTACATGACCCGTTGCAATATCGTATAAAGTAAAGTTGTGCACAGCTAATTTGGTCTTAAAGTATAAAGCACTAGCTGATAGCGAAGGGCACAGCTTCACAGCCTGCAAATCAGCGGTCACAGCATGAAGAAGTCCTCTTTGAGCACTTTGCTTGTCACTAAGTTTTTCAGCTCGAGCCAATTCTTTCAGCTGGATGTGGTATTGGTAGTTCTCTTCAGAAACGTTGCCGGCTTTATATGAACAACAATAATCACATGCGTCTTTCTTGGGTTGAAATAGTGCAATGTTTTGTTCGTATAAGATGTCACAAAACAACTTTCTTGAAGCCACTGGCTTAGACCTTGATGATGCAAATTCTACGTACGCATTATATAGCTGAGACTTTGATTGAAATAATGGTTCCAGATATTGTTTAGTGGTTGTCATACGGCAGTAATGAGATGGTAACTTCGGTAATAAAGTCAGGTAATCCTTAACAGACGATTTTTTGCTTGTAATGTAATCTTGAGTAGCGGTAGTATTTAAATTTGTTGTAAGTTCTATATTAGAGCGAGCATCACCTCTTCCTTCGCCTAACCAATAACGTATAGTCCACTCTTTTATACCTAAAGTAGCTAGAAACGTTTTCAAGCAAACTCTCTCTTTCTTACCATTGACTTGTAGATAGTAAAATTTTGTATTAGAACGTCTAGAGTTGTGTCCTTTTTTTCCTCTTCGAACAGGTACTTTGTCAATCATTGAAATCACAAATATTTTCTTTTCTTGCCATGACTTACACCAAAAATCTTCAAAAATAGGTTTTTGTAAATCTTCCGTTAATTGTGAGCAAAACATTACTTTACTTTTATTACAAAACGCTGAATTGCATTTAGTACCTATTGTTCTTTTAGATCTTTTTTGTTTCTGAATAACGTTGTCAATTTTGTTTAAGCCTATGTACTCTTTCCCTAACATTCTATTTTTCTTATTAATTGATACTGCCCATGAACTGCGATCAGCCTTTCTTTTTCTTGTACGTGACTCTTTGGCAACTTCAGGCTCAATTTCTCTCTCCACATACCATTCAACGTTTTCATTAGAAATAGACTCAGATGGAGTAGCAATAGGCTATAATTTTTTAATTCGGATAATGGAACGTAATCAGGATCATTATCTACATCATCCGTAGAAAAATCGAAAGCCTCTGGAACATTTAAAATCATAGATGATACGCTAGGGCCAGGAGAAGGCTCAGAAACTGTTGTCAGAGTTTCACAGTATGCAATGCTATCATGAACTTTTTCGGGTGTAGTGGCAATTGGGAAACATGACAGTTGCGTCGCTGGAGACGGTTCAATTAATGTTTGAGGGATGTGTATGTTAGTGTTATTAACTTTATCCAATATGAGCTGCTTTTTACGCATAAGTTCGGCGCGACGTTTTGCTAGATCTCTTAAAGTGACAACAGCCACATCCGCACATTCATTTTCTTCCTCCATGATGTAAACTAAAAAATACAATGGTTTGGTCAGTTACTAGAACTCTTTTTTAAATATTTTATTGACAAAAAAAAATACATAAACTCTTAACTAAACTAAAACTTTCATTAATAGTAGTTGAATTCTCAAAGATAGGTTCAAAAGTTCCAGAGATAACTTTCTACAAACAGAAAACCTTTACCACCTATTTACTATTATTACCTACTAGTAGGGTAGTAGGTATTAGTACAGACACATCTAGTCACCCTCTACTTTTATGATAATAAATACAACAAATTAACCTGATTTACGAGTAGGTAGATAAATTTTGCAACCGCGTATGTAACAGAAAACGAAAAACGTTATGACAACGAAAAACTGTTTTGAAACCGCGTATCCATCATCGAAATTGTTAAAGATGTTTTCTCAGGGTAAATATTAATAATTCAAATAACAAATTATCCTAATAAGTAACTTAATCAATATGATATATAGTTATAGTATTCACTTACCAGTTCATGCAGCATTTATAATTAAAATCACACTGTTTCACGCACGCTTCCTTAAACAAACACACCTTTCATGTTATGATGCGCAAATACGCGGTTTGGGCACAATAAACAATCACCTGACGTTACGCGGATTATAAGACATTCGATTTCACGGCTTCCTATTGGATAATAGGCCCAGCCATCATCACAGAACGCAGCCAATCACTATAACGAAGCTAAGCCCGCGAAATCTCGATTTTGCTAGTTTTGTAAATACGCGGTTTTAAACACTGTTAGTTCCGCGGTTTCAGAATATCACCGACGATAACAAAAATAATGAAGCTACTGAATATATGGCTACAGAACCTAAATCTCTTATACAAT